TTGTTGGTTTTTTTTTGTTTTGTTTTGTTTGGTATTTTTTCAGGTTCGTTAATATATGAAAAACTGGGAGCAAAGGCATTTGGCTGGCCTGGGAAGTGTGGTGTTTTCATTTCAGTCACAATGCAGAATATTGGAGGTAAGAGACAAAAGTTTTCTGGTTTCCAATGCTCTTCTACAGAACCCAAGTACTTTCTTTCTCTCCTCTGTATGGCATCGGAGGTGAGCCAGATAGAGCATACATTGTATTGCAAAAAYGAAGGACATGAGGAAATGATCTCACTGTTTCAGCTACCTGACATCTCAGTGTATGATGAAAGACAGTTGCCTGGGATCTCTCCATAGCCAGTGAAGAGGCTTCGATGATGGCTAAAGTGGCCTGACTGTCCTCAAGGAACTGGCCATTTCTCTTTATTGAGTACTTCTCAGGCTATTCTTCTTAGCATTGTTAAAGCATGTACTTCAACTTAGAAAAGATTGATCTGACCTGAAAGGAACAGCACAGGGTTCTGACTTCTCCATAAAAGGCTCTTCAATAGTTCATTTTTCAGACTAATTCTCTCCTTGAAATAATATTTAGGTTGYGTCATTCCTAAGATGTGTGTATAAAGTAATTTTTGTGAATATATTCACCCACAAAGATACTTCCTGTGAAATACCTATCAAGTAACCTCCATCCTCTTAGAACTGGAGACGTAGCAATATATACAGTACTGCTAGGACTGTACGTTCATTCAACAAAGATTGTTTACTATCCTGGAAAATGCCTTTTAGGAGGCTGAAGAACACCACATCTGACAGCACAAGGAAGTTCGTAATTTTTTACAGATTCCTTAAGGAGAAGTATTTGAAATTCAAATTAAATGTGCCATTAGTCAATTAAATGTATGCAGATTTTTTTCTTTTGATTTCTTTATTGCAATTAATTATATTTTGCAAATCCCCATCAACAGATCATTACTGTTCTGTTATAGCAACTTTGGTACACAAATAGAGGTAGTTCRTATCTCTCGATTGCAAAAGACTTTTTGATGTTGTTCATGAAAGATGTTGTTCTATGGAATTCCCTTCCTTCCCCAAATCTGGATATCAAATTGGTTCAATTCAGAAATTAACGATGCTTCCCTATTACTGCTTTTCCTCTAGTCCTTGTCTAGATTGATCCATAGGTCTCCAGAGACCCCTTTGTGACAAACATAAAACAAATGAAAAAAGCATTACATTTTTAATGAGATATATAGAAGTCCACTCTTACATCAGGAATCTTGGCAATTAGTTGATTTCTTTATATATAGAGAAGATGCTAGAAGCAAGAATTTGAAACTAGAAAGGATAATGTAGCTGAAGAGATCTAGTGGCAATAAGAACTAAAGTTACCACAGAATGGGCATAGAAAGCATTTGTTGGAAGAAAAACATGTATAACAAAAAAAGCAGAAGGAAAAGTTGAGCATAATTTAGGAATGCTAAGAATTCAGTAGTAACTCTATTGTATTCTAATACAGAATGCTAGATGTCATTCAGAACCTGCTCATAACAATAAAAAGGATTTATTTATTTAGTCACATTGTTATTTAAACAAAACTAATTTCTCTACTTCAGCAAAAATTTTTTTTGGTTGTTTTTTTCAGCAATGTCAAGCTACCTCTTTATTATTAAATATGAACTTCCTGAAGTCATCAGAGCATTTATGAAACTTGAGGAGAATTCTGGGTAGGTGCCTCTTCCCAGCCTGAAACTTAGATGAAAAATTTTCACTTTGATGTCAACGATGATTGTTTTTATTTTTATTCTTCCTCTTTAGAGAATGGTATCTTAATGGGAACTACCTCGTCATACTTGTAACAGTTGTGATTATTCTTCCCCTCTCCCTTCTAAAAAGCTTAGGTAAGCTTAATGCCCCACTTAAGGTCATTCCTTATTCCTGTTAGGACTGTGAATTTATATGTAACTGAACTGTTTTGTTCTGTTTTGTTTTGTTTTTCTTGCTGCACAGGTTATCTTGGTTATACGAGTGGGTTTTCGCTGACCTGTATGGTTTTCTTTGTCAGTGTGGTAGGTGACTGTTTGGGTATTGTCTCCAGACAAATGCAGACTCTGTAATCCTTAAACACTGTTATAGCTCTTACCATGACAATTTAATGTGRATGCTAGAATAGCACCTGCAAGTGAATCAAATCAACAACCTATTGTTGAATGAAGTCAGAGTTTAAAAGATCAGTTTAAAAAAAAACCACTTGAGAATGAAAAATAAAGTAGGAAAACAGCAGAGGCAGAGTGACAACAAATATTTGCAGAAGAAGCAGAAGCGGTAGCACTTATTTCTTGCTTCCTCTCTTTCTGAGAGTCTGTTTGTAGTTTTGTYGGAATACCACAGATGTGTAATCTCCTATAGTGGTACTTGCCTGATCACATTGTGTATTCTCTTGTAGGTAATCTTCAAGAAATCCCAAATACCTTGTCCTCTTCCCATCCTGGACCACGGGGTTGGAAACTGGACCACCGCCAATAGCACAGTRCCAATGCACCTGGTCATGTTAACAAATGATTCACTCGGTTCTGGTGTGAATTTCATGATGGACAACACAGCTAGGCACTTCCCAGGCCTTGAGGAGCCAAAAGACACCTCTCCAAAAAGCGGAGTGGAATATGAAGCACACAGTGACAATAGYGACAAGTGCCAGCCAAAATACTTTGTGTTCAACTCACGGGTAAGTAGGTTCTGTAGAATTTCTCTTTAACCATTTGTACAGCTAAACTGCTGGCTGCCAAAAGTCAGAGATGCAGCCATGGCCATTGTTACTAACGGGAGCTTTATTTTACAGACTGTCTATGCAATACCCATCCTGGCATTTGCATTCGTATGCCACCCTGAGGTGCTGCCAATATACAGTGAACTGAAAGAGTAAGGTTCTTAAATTTTGTCTGATACTTCCAGTTAACCATAGATAGAGGTGACTTTCTACATGCTGTTGTCCCTTGATTGCTGATGTGTAAACACCCACCTGACAATGAATTATTGCTTTCCATAGTGAGCAGATATTCATTTTGCTTTGACCTCATAGTCAGATTTTGGTGATGGAACCATTGCATTGCTCAATATTTGCTTACGAAAGGAGGAATCTGGACAGTCCTTCAAATGATTGGAAATAAACTGGGGAACATGGTTGCACTGAAATAGATAATTCTGGTTTCTAATAATGCCTTAATGTGTTCTGTGTCTGGTCAGTTGCTGCTTAAAGTTTCTTGGGATGCCATTGGTTTGGGTGTCTTATGTAGGCTCTTCACTAAGCCTATTTTGCTTAACAAATACCAAAAATCAAATACACTTACTTAAAACATTACAGACTTAATAGCTGGGAAGGGCTAATATAACACATTTGTTGTACAGTAAAAGTTGCATTACAGGAGGGTGTGTTGCAAAACACAAGGAGGCTAAGAGCCRTTACTTCCTGCTTCAGTAGGTTTAACCTAGGAAGCAATAAAAATTCTCATATTACTTGAGAAAAAAACACTTGCAGGTCCTGTAAAGTAAAGGTTTTYTTTAACCAAAGCATCTATGAAGAAAAGATTTGATCTGTAAGGGATTCCTGAACCTGCAGAACAACCCTATGTAGATACAAGGGCATATTCATGTAGAGATGGCTGAAAGATCTTGACCATAATTAYTAACAGACCTGAAATTCTAGCCCCTTCATTTTTTTAAATCTAAAATACGCAATTTGAGATTGACAGGTAATAAAATAATGTGGCACATTTTTTATTTTGTCACTGAGAAAGCACTGGAAATGCTGCTATAAGTTTGTGCTGCTTTGCSCAGAGCTGTAAAACATCAAGAGTACTATGTAACCAATATAGTTGCWATGAAATTACTGTCCAGTGAGGGTATTTCAGAGAGCTAAGATACTTCAGAGCACTTTCTGTACAAATAAAGGCATTATAAGACAGCTCTTCTCTTTCTTTTGTACTTCAGTCGCTCTCGAAAGCGGATGCAGAATGTCTCAAATATCTCCATCACTGGCATGCTTATMATGTATCTTCTGGCTGCCCTCTTTGGATACCTGACCTTCTACGGTAAGTCAAACCCTGTTCTTAGTAAAATTTTCCCTCACACTTTAAAGCAGGTGAGCTGGTTCTCTTGCAAAGCTCAAGTATTAATGTATTTTCTAGGGGCCTGAATCCAAATGTGAGCAACATTCAATTATAATACACAGTGTGTGTAATCTTCCTGAATGTACTGGGGGACTTAACCAGCTCTCAGGCCACAAGTTCCTTACCTGCAAGAGACTCAGAGGCACCTGCTAGGGGGACTGATTTTGTTTCCTTTGGCTTTGTGGACTTGGACAAGAAGCTGCTGCAAACTTGGCTCTTGGCAAAGGCCAAGAGTACTAAAAATACACTAGTGCGCAACAGTTTTACATGACACTATTAAGTGCTACCCAATCTGTCTCTGACGCCACTAGTTCAGCTGCATCTATGCTGAAAAACAGGTGCAAGTCATTCTAGTGTAAAAAAAATGTGGACAAGCTAGACTAACCGATGGACAAACAGCGTAGTCCGTCTATTAGCACACCATTTTGTGCAAACGCCACCTCTTTTTACCTTGTTAGTTCCTCCATACAGCAGAGAAGTGAATGATACAGCACAATCTGCTCCCTATCACTGGGGCAAGAGGGCTCTGTTTGAGAGCTGGAGCATCTGGGGGAAGGTCAAAGGGAGCTGCTACCAGTTCAGTGAGTCGTTTCATGCTTTGTATTGCAGAAATTATTTTTACTTCARGTTCTACATCCACTTAATGACTTTCTCAAAGTCATCTCAAAGATGCTGGAGTACAAATCATCACCTCAGAGCTGTATTACCCTTATCGTCTCTGAATGATGGATWTGTATCAGTCACAGTGGGAAAATTCCTCTTTCATGTCTAGCCCATAATATGTATCTAATGACAGCAGCTGGGCTAAAGCTAATCTTACATCTTATCTGGCTGCAGTATAAAGATCCTTTTACATGTGCAAGGTATTGCTTAAGTGATTTAACTCGTTTCTGTTTCTTTTTCATAGGAGAAGTTGAAGATGAGCTACTTCATACATACACTAAAGTGTACACCTTCGACACCCTCTTGCTGTCAGTTCGCTTGGCAGTGCTGGTGGCCGTGACCCTGACTGTGCCCCTTGTCCTTTTCCCTGTGAGTAACACAGCTGAAATCAGGGCTAACCCATATGCACTGACAGTACATGCTCAGCACAGACAGATTTTAACTCTGAAGGGAAGTACGCCTGAAGTTTTGATTTAGAGAGGTCTGTTTTTTCATATGCAGTTTGACCAGAGCATGGACCTTAGGCAGTAAGGGTTGCAAAATTTAAAAGACTGAAATAAATCAGTCTTTATAAATAAATCAGGAATGGCTTCTCTGTCTCTCTCTGTACTTCTCTGGCTCTTTCTGTGCTATATTTATCAGAGCAGTGCTAAGCACCAAAGACTTGGGGATATCCTGAAACCACTTATGAGATTTCCTAATACAGACATAGGCACTTAGTATAGCATCCAAACTCAGGACAGACACGTGAAACTCTGGTCACGCATTGTGCAGGAATCCCAGACCAGGCTGCTAAAATAAAAGGACAGAGGCCCCTGTGGTCACCTTACATGCTTGAGTCTGTGGACAGGGGAGGAAGCTAAATGCCAGAAAAAAGAGGCGTACAAGACTCAGCTGCACAGTCAGTTGTCTGAGAAAAGATTGGAGCTTCTGTGCCCTCTTCACAGGGAAAAACACAACCACAGTAGCAGGCAAAGATAGGCACATCTAAACAAACTGCTCTACAGAGGGACCAACCCTCCTCACAGATCACTCTCYCCCAATGAGCAGAACTCCAGGTTCCTGAATGTCTAAGATTGGCCTCCACACCTTCCCTGAGCTGCCATGCAGCAGAGGAGAAAATAGCTGATCCCCATCATTTGTTTTTGGGAGGCTGGTGCGTCATTTGTACAGCATGTACAAGCCCAGCWTCGTGCTGCTGGAGGGCTCCCAGCAGCTGCATCACACCCCAGTGTTCTGTCTGAGTAACCCTGGGCTCCTGCTGCCCCGTTGTCCTGGATGTGACACACGCTCTGCGTAGGTACTGTTTCCAGGCTGGCTGACAAATGCCTAAGAGCAGTGATCACTGTTCAATGTTGTCTACCAAAAAAAATTTCAAAAGGTTCAGGTAAAAAGCACCTGGTGTGATCAGTCCTTCTGACTTGGAGAGCTCCAGTGCTCTGCCTTAAGCATTGTGTTTAAACCAGTGGCTAAATGCTTAAATGAGTCTTAACAAATTGATCAGTCTCCATGGAAAAAAAAAAAAGCTAAGGACATTGCAAAAGCCTCTCTCTGTCAGGTGTAGCCTTTTTCATTTCTAGGTTTCTGTATTATCATTTTTATATCTGAATAGTGTGCAAAGGCTTAGCAGCTACATACCACAGCAGTAATTGTTCTATTAAAAGAGCTCCTGAGAAAACATAATTTGCTTGTAAACCATAATATCTAAAAGACTTCACACATTCAATTATGACAGCCAGCTCAGAAGACCTTATTACTTCAAATAAACAATATAATTTTATAAACTACTTTTTTTTATTAATCACCCCATTTTGTATTTTCTTAAAGCAGTCAGAGCTTTTTATTAAAAAAAGTTATTGCATTACTAGAAAAATAAGTTAAATATATATCTATGTACTATTAGATCATTAGTCACTGCAAAACCTCAGTTTGATAGCTCCTTTTTAAGGAGCACAAAAGGAATAACACACAAGATGCTGACACGACATGCATGGGAATACAGGCAGAAGTTTTTTTCTGAAATAAAGCTGTTTTACACTAACCCAAAAGCTGGACAAAACATTTTCAATCTACCTCCCTCTTCCTCTTATTGGTTCACATCAACCTGAAAAACATGAAATACAAACTCATTCTGTGTTTTCAAGTGATGGATTACACTGGCAGAACCCCATATATTTATTCAATTGCCAAACTCACCCAGAAGCAGTTACGTTATTTTAAAACAACCAGATAGAAGTGTATTTGGAGTTTTTTTGTTGTAAAAGTATTGTTGTTCAGTTTCTAAATATCAACTTTTAGGTTAATTGTGGTACTTGAGAGTAACACTATCTCGACCCACCAAATGGTTTGCTTCTTTCTACTTATCATCTTTTATGCTGTAAAAGCAAAAAAATTCTGTGTTGTGTTAGAAAGTGAGWGGAGCAAAAAAAAAGATCCTTTGCAAGAGCTTTTAGGATTATAATTTCCAAGTGGCATTGGAAAATATGCTTTTCTTTTCAGCTATATTTATGTATATATTTAATGAAAATAAAACAACAGCTTCCTCTTTCTCTCCAAAAAGTAAATGACAGAATTCTTGTGGGATTTTCAGAGCGATCAGGTTCAGGAATACAGCAATTCATATTTCACACATGTGTTTTTTTTCCTGCTGATTAGTAGTTATAGTGGGGGGTTTTTGAGGGTTTTTTTTGCTGATATCAGCATCTTTCAGTTGAACGGATTTCATGTCCCTGATTTTACACCCTATTTACTTGACTTTSTTCTACACTGCAAATATTTGAGTTTCTGCATTAAACTGTGAACCCAGTTCTCAAAAACCTACATCAGAGTGAGATTACATTATGGGAATCAAAGAATGAAAACACTTTTTTTCAGTAAGAATTTCTCACAGCAGAAGTAACTAACATAGATTTTTTTTTTTTTTTAAATAAAAGCAAAGTTAAAATAATTGTTGTTTTACTTTCTCTGCTGTTTTTAATCTTGCAGATCCGTTCATCTATCAGTGCATTGCTGTTTCCCAAAAGGCCATTCAGCTGGATAAGACATTTCCTGATTGCAGCAGTCATTCTGGCTTTTAATAATCTGCTTGTAATTTTTGTCCCAACTATTAAAGACATCTTTGGATTTATYGGTAGGTTTCATAAATACGTTTTGCTTGCTCTGTTATTCTTTCCACAACATATTTAGATTCATGAACTGAGGAGAAATCTCAGTTTGGGACTTACAGTAGGGTAACGTAAACACAAATTGAGGTTAAAAGGGATTTAAAAATTCCCAARGACCTAACAGGCAAAGCTACAGACTACCCAACTTTGTTGTTGCCTTGCATGAGGCACGAAGAAACCAATCATCCCAATATAAAAACTGGTAAGGAATTCCCGTTTTGACAATTCCCRTCTGAGAAGAGGGAAAACACCTTTGGTTTTCAAGCACCTAGAGCATGAACAAAATATATTGACTTCCAAACTCTTACACTAGAAAAAGGAGAAAAGTGACACGTTTCTTTTGACATTAACAGTTCTCTCCCTACTACTTTCTTTTGGTCAGTCTAGGCCTCTGACCAAAGAGTTCCATGAACAGTCTCCATGCTCTGAGCTCCTTGAGAACGCAGGGATGTAAAGGTAAACTTCTGTGGGTTTTCTGCAGCTGCTGTGCTCCTCCCTGCCTGGGCCACCATGCCAGACTCTGCTGAGGAGAGAGGGCTAGGCACTTCTTGGAGCAGATCATCCGCACTCTTTTCAATACCTACTTTCCGGGGTCATCCCCTTTGGAAATGTCTATTTGCCCTTGCTTCACCCGCTGACATGRAGACATCTGTACCACAGGCAGCCACACCACTCTGAAAAAATCCCCACAATAACAAGTCTCTCCAGGACCCAAGCACCCAAATAAGTGGTTTGGCATCTACAGCTCTGCATTAATGTTGTCTGCAGAGAGAGCTCTTTGTGCAGCTGGGCTCAGAAGGGCTGCTGACTCCCGACAGGCTTTCTTTCACARGTGCAGCACTCTGCTTTTCTGTCTGATGATGCAGCACTCGTCTCTGCTCTCTCTTCCAGGAGCCTCTTCTGCTACGATGTTGATTTTCATCCTCCCTGGTGCCTTCTACCTTCGAATCGTTGAGAAGGAACCCCTGAGGTCTCCTCAGAAGATTGGGGTAAGAGAACTGCACAAGGGAGGGTGAAAGGGTGTGTGCGTTCCACTCTTCATTAATACTCAGGCTTTTGACTTGCAATATCTGACACGGGAAGTGTCTCACTCAAAATACAGGTTGGGATTTGCCTCAGGCTTCACAAGCCAAAGCCTTTAGTGCCTGACTGCTCCTGAGACTCACCTAAGTGTTTAGGATAAAGCATGTCTCAAAACACTAGAAAAAGGGACTGATTTAATCCGATCTAAGCTCTAATTAACACCTGCATTTGCACAAATAGCACCAGGGCAGTCTATAAGAAATTGTTGGTTCATGCTAGAAAACCAGCTGTGGATTAACAGGGAGATTTGAGGTCAAGGTTAAGAAGGAAGTTATACTGCAGAGATAAATAAGTAATAGTGAGCTCTCTTCTGAGACAGACTCATACACCTCCAGGATAGGAAGGTCCATCATTTATGTACAGCATGTGTCTGTATGTCATGCTGGACTGCCACTGCAATCAATGCCTTTTATCCTGAACATCAATAACTGTCTGCACATTTAACTGTCACTTACTGAACATTGTTTGAAAATGTAATCAGAAAAGTTATTCATGAAAAATATATGCAGACACATAATGTAAAAAGATGAGCATATACACATTATATATATGCTCAAAAAAGACATGTAAGTTCGACTGACACATACTTCAAGTATAAAGGAAGARGTTTATTATGATGAAATGATTTCTACAATGCCTTTTGTAGATGTTATTAGAGACTGCGAATATTTTTCATGAGTCTTTGTTCACTCCTTACGTTGCCGCGTTCGRCACATCTAGAATTTCACACCCAGCACTGACATCACATGCAATATTCATCTTTGTTTTACAAGACACAGTATTGTTATGTGTGGACAAATTATGGTAAATTACAGCCCCACTAAAGCAAAGGGTGACTACAAGTATCTGAATCACTTGAATATATACACACTTACTGTGTGTATATAAGATAAGAGATATTGGCTTACCTGTTTCTCTAATAAGGATTAACTCTGMAGATGTTCTTAMTGTCAGAGACTATGATCATTGACAGAAAATTCAACTGTTTTTAAAGATTAAAAAAATTACTTTTTTCTCTTTTGTATTTTTMTTATTGTTCACAGTAACAAAGTGGGTTGTTTTCAGATTTAGCTGTGTAAATTCTGCTCTCTGGCTGAAATTCACAGAGGAATAGCTTTTATTCATGTGGCCCTGTATAACATTACTTGGGTTTTAGTCACAGAGAATAATCCAAACTTAGGCCCTGGAGATTATGTTAATACATATCCAGTGGGACAACCTGAGCTACARCCTGCTCAGCCACTTGCTTTATTAATGAAATTTCATTTTTCAATTGCAGGCTCTAATTTTCCTCATAGTTGGCATAATCTTCATGATTGTGAGTATGACTCTTATTGTAATGGACTGGATTTACAATCCCCCAAGTTCGAGACATCATTAACCTGTGAAGACAACCAAGTGATTTTTATAACATAAATAATTGTGTTGTGTGCTCCGAAGAACATCTACATGGGACTGTTATTCCTAGCTAGTAACTGCAGTACTTTGAAGACAGTTTCTGATACGGTCACAAGAACACAGTGGAGTCTACATCATCCTTGTCAATAAGGATTGTTATTTATGCATTAAGAACTTGAGCTTTGCATTTCTGGCCAGGTGAAATGAAATGTGTGGTGTGAATATTTTCTATTTCCAAAACCAAAATAACTTTGTACATAGTCCTCAAAAATATCTTGGTGTCAASCCTGTCAAAATCTCCTGTCATGACAGTAACCACAGTTCCTAGAGCCTTRGAAAGGAGTGGCCAGAAAACCAGCCACTTGTTTTCTATCTGAACATCATGGGAGTGGCTGCTCAGGTGCTTGAGAATCAGTACAGCTTCTGGAGGGCCTGTTTATCAGAAAGATAACGGCTTTGACAAGCCAGTGGACAAAGCTGAGTGTCAGATKTGTTGCCCAAATTGGTGGCCCTTGGCTGGTGAYGGCTGTGGTACAGAATAGAGYTCTCTGAAGCAGATTCTGTGCTAGGGCACATGCTTGAAGAACAGTGGAGCATTCTCATTTTGTTGTTAAAGCTGCCTGTGCTGGAAACATCAGTCATTTCTGCTGTAGGGGTTTTTATGTTCTTTAATTTCTAACTATTGTGTGAGCTTGCATCACTGAACAAGTTGTATCCTCCATAAAAACTTGTCTTCCACTCTCACAGGAATTTAAGGAGACCATAAGGTGTTGCAAAGCACCCTATCCAGTATTGTTCGGTACTTGTGTATTTGATAAATGTTCAGTGCAGGAAACTGTAATTTGCTATATATGAAGAYATATGTATTTATGTACATAATTTTTTGTTTTCCTCTAGTCATAAGAATGGTATCCTGTGGTAAATGATTTTTGATTTTTTTTTTTATGTATCACTCTGTTTTCATAGCCACCCACTTAATATTGTTTCGAGGAAACATATTGAATTGGTGGGTTTGTAAACAGTACATTTTTATTCACCAGTGTTCGAAAYATTCCTGTAGCAAGCCCTAACTGGTACTTGTGTAAAAACACACTCATATGTTTACTACTTAAGTTGCAATAAATTGCAAGATGTTTTCCTCTTAAGAATTTTTAATAYATGCCTTAAAGTTTTGTTGTTACCATTGTACATCACAAATTTGAATTACTTGCTCAATTGCAGGACAGCATCTTGTCTACGAATACATCAGCATCCAGAAACATTCTATACAATCAAATTATGCAAAGGAAAYAGCACTATTGACAATCTCAAGTGTATCATGCTATACAGCTGTACAAGATAGAAAAAAAAAAAAAAAGGGTTACATTCTGTGTTATATTAATGCTTAATTAACAGTCAGCTCATTATCTGGGCTGTGTTGTGGAGTACTCATTACATATGCTCTCTGTACACACCAGGGAAAAGCAGCCAGAGAGGTCTTGCCAGCTCCGTAGCAGAGGGAATGAGTGGGAAGGTGTGACTGTTGGGTTTTATCATGCTTACAAGAATCTAAGCTCATGTAGTAGGAGTTTTCATTTTCTGACTTAGAAATGTGTTGAGTGCACACCTGTGAATTCAGAAGGCTGAGAAGCACTCAAAAGTTGTCTCTGCTCCCTCCTCAGCTTCACGCAAAATTCTGTTTGTGTGTGTGTCTGTGTGAGTATAAATTGTGTACATTTACAGATTAACTGGAAAGGAATATCAAATATATATTCCATGTCAAATGCTACCCTTCTGAGCAGTAGTATATGCTCACTTGAGTACTGTATCCTTAATATACTGGGAAACACTTCCTTGTGAATGCTAAGTCTGGCTTTGCATTTTTTAAAGAAAACAGTGCCAATAATATTTTTCTCTCTTTTAAGCAGACTAATACAAATAATGTTGTTTTATTACTGAAGAGACTTTTAACATGGGCTAGAATTAATAGTAACATGCCACCATACCTCTCTTCTTGTTACCATTACTGGCAGTCGTGTGTATGAAATTGTAACTGCATCTTTATTTCAGAGTGAAAGCCCATATCATGACTACAGCTGCATGTAGAGACTTAAGGATACATCTAGTCTACAAAATATATATAGATGACCTCAAGAAAAGCAACAGAATTGTGGAACAAGGACATAACCACTCCCTTTTTATAGAAAAAAAAAAAAAAAAGCCCCAGAGGTAGAGGGGCTGTAAAATGTCAAGTTTTTGAGTTAAAATATGTTGGTCATAGTGATATGCAGTGACTGTGCACACTGGGAGTAACGGCAGTATTTCTCTAGTATTAGTATTTCACTAACTTATTAGCACTGCTGGGAATGCTGGATGTTGGGGTTTCTTATTCATTTTGTAACATTGACAGTAGGCTTGCTGAGRATTTTTATTATTAGACCAACCATTAATGTATAATAAATGAATTTTTCAGAGATTGAAGATTATTTTTTATCTGCTTTAGGCTAGCAGGAAAAGAATTTTTGTTTGAAAATCAAGCAGAGTCAAGTTGTTAGGCTTAACACAGGTATTGCTAAAATGCATTCCCTTTTAAGAGAAAAATCTGTGTATGCAGAGCAAAATGGCAGTCTCTTCATATAATAACCCTTTGGCACTCCCTGTTTTCTATCTATTCATGGAGCTATGTCATCGGGTAGAGAATGGCTGGTGTTCAAGGTGGGGTTATCTGTGAGATTTTGAAAGCCCCRTTCTTTGGATTAGCTAGGATACACAGTACACCAGCTAAGTGTAGAATAGGAGTATATATATAGTATATTACTAACTATAGTAGAGGGKCAGATACCAGRCRGTACCACTGTGTATAAATAGTTCCTATCAMTGCAGCTGCAGGTTCTCCTGCTGTTACATACTTGTCTAATGTATACATAGCCCAAAATACACCGGTCTGCACACAGCTCCAGCATCCATGAGCTCATGTGAGAGCCATGCTCATGGCTAGACAGCATTTGCAACCTGCCCACTAATGAGGGAGCCACTACAGCCCCAGAAAAATGCTCAACACCTCTTCCACAAACATCCACCACAATTTCTCCTTCCCTTCTAGTCAGGCATCATTCATTCCCTGAAGCATTAGCTTTACTCTGTCTTGATGATTCTTGAGGTTTATCTTGTTTGTGTCAGGAGGTTGTTTTACGTAAACAATTACAGTTGTAGCAAATGAATGAGGGAAGTTAAAGAAAAGTAAAAGGTATGTCTTCAAGGAAAAAAAAACCCTAAAATGTTAAAATATTAGACATTTTAGTGGCCATAGAGGTGTGTCATTAAATAGATGTGTCAAGAATGTCAGAAGTTATATATATTTAAAAAAAACAAACAAACAAAAAAAAAACAACAAAAAAACAAAACCAAAAACAAAACAGAGGTAATGAGTATCTCAGCTCTGGATTAGAAATGGGTAGAAAAAGGGACACTCATTAAAGGGCACAATCCTCTCTTGTCCACAAATAATCAAAGACTGCTCAATAGCATCTATCTTAAGGAAGGGCAGCAGGCCTAGGTAAGGCAGAGCAGCTGGGTCTGGTGTTCCTTTTCATTAAACCCTGCTTGTTCTCAGTGTAGTAGTAAATATAAAAATATAAAAACTTTATTTAGTATCAAATAAAGCTAGTCAGCAATTACTCACTAAGAGGTCTAGGTGGCGCTATTGATGGAATATTTCCATTCATTTGACTTTAAATTTCAACAGAAGTCTTACTGAAAATATGCAATTGCAACAATATTATGACAGATCCATGTCTATTTTCCTTTAACCTGCCTGGCAAAGTGCTGTGGGCTTCAGGGGAGCTTACAGTTCCTGGCCTCCACCTCTCCTGGCAATGGGCAAGGGCCAGCCCGCTCAYACCCAGCACAGACAGCCCCAGTGCTTTGACCGGGCTCCAGCATGAGCTCAGGATTACAGAGTTTCCTTGCACTGTAGTGGCAAGACTGTCAATACTTTCTGTGGTATATTGTGCTGTCTAGTAGGAACCTGGAAAAAAAAAAAAACGAACGTGGTTTTAATTAATTAAATCATCACTTACTGAAAACACTTAAAAGCTTGTGCTGAACCTGGGTGATAATAATTTTTTTTTTAATTTTTAAGAATATGAATTGTATGAAGCTAAAAGAGATCTCAGGTAGCCTCCTATTCCACGCCTGGATTAGACAGCAGACTTAGGCTACTGTTTGAGGCCAACAACATTGGCTCTAACTGTTTATTTCTAAGATGTAGTTAAGTCAAAGAAAAAACTTTGTGCTAACTGATCTCACAACCATTACAGTTTGGAGGAGATGTTTCTGGCTACTCAGGACACATCATTGATACCTCAATACCCTCTGGACAAAGAAGTGCTGAGAGCATTCACAATGCTACAGAGCTGCTGCCTTCATCAGCAGAGCATTAGCACTGACAGGAATTATGTCCTGTGGARCCCAATACCCTTGCCCACCTATTGAGTCAAGTTCTAAACCCAACACGTTGCATTATGATAAATAACTTTGGAAATCAATATGATGTCCTGATATTGCTACATAAAGTGAGGAGACCTTATGCTGTTACTAACAGAGAAACAGAAGGTGTTTATCACCCAGCAGAAGCAAAACTAAACATAAACGGACATTTGTTTGGCTACAGCTCTCCAGGACACTTTGAAGTGGATATTTCAAAGTTCCACGCGCTCAAATGGAAAATGTCCGAGGCATTCATTCAGCTTTAGCACGCACCTCTTCTGGCTCATTTATCTTGAGGCTTGGGAAAGGTATCCTGTCCTCAGTACCAGATTGTCTGCACATGAATTATTACCCAACTGTTTATTCCCAAAAGGAGGGTCAGTATCTCCTCTAAGAGGGAAGCTTGCAGACAGCAGGAAGTGATGGCTGCATGCCATCGGCATCACCCTCTTTCACTCTCTGACCTAACTGGAACTTCAATCTTTTCCACCACAGACCATCCAACCCTTCCCACCCTTCCTTTCCAAGAGGGATGAGTTTACCATTTCACTAGCAGCTCAAGCAATTGACCCAGTTTCCAGATTTCCACAGTCAAACTAATCCATCAAACTCCTCGTGTATGAGCTAATACAAGTCCTAACACTTAGAATCCCCACCTTTAACTTGATCTATCCTAAGCAAAGTTGGGCTTGGCACAAAACGTTCCTGAACTTGCCCATGAAGAAGCAGCTGCTGAGGCAGGCACCTTTCCACACACCCCACATTATTTACTGTTTCCTACGGTCACTTGATGGCCTTCCCTTGACTTGAAATGCCTCCTCACCATTCAGAGGCACTTCAGCCTAATATATCATTAGTTGACAGAAATAGGTGCCCTACTTACATTCTCAAAACCCCGTTTCAGGGGTCAGAAGCCACCTGTTTCCCTCCTTCAGCTACAGAGTGACATAACTTTCAACGATCTAGAAACTGTGAACCTATGAACTGACATAAATAATCTGATGGTGCCTGAGCTGTCTWAATGCACCCCTATGCTCTTAATAATTCTTTAATACTCTACTGTTCTTCTTATAAASCTTCTGCAAAATGCCAATTAGCCCTTTTTTCAATCCAGCCTCAAAGAAAAYAAACATACAAACTATCCCTGCTTTTATACCTGTGAATGTAAACAGACACAAGTTCAGTAGAAAATTATTTCCCCAATATTTTYTCCAGGAAATCTGATGTCAAACCCTAGGTTGTTGTGGTTGTTCCTGGTATTGGTCATTAGGAGTCTGCAAGATACTGAATATTCCTACTAACCTCACCCATAGCAAGCTGGGCAAACATCCGCCCAGTTTGTGGCTGAAACAGTTGGCAATTAAAGCAGCTGTGCTTCTAGAAGCTATTGGGAAATCAAAGATAAGATTACTCAGAAGGCAAGTTTCCCTGAAATTGTCTCAAATGCCGCAAAGACCTCATAGTATGATGTGAAATACATTGAACAGCATTCAGACTAACAGAATCACAGTGGGGTGACTCAGGCAGCCTGGTCAGGGATAACTCATTTCCTTATATACAGTCATATACACTGCCAAAGCCATGAACATGTATTTTGGATAAATGGCAATGCTCTACCTGGCTTCAGGTACAAAAGAAAGACAAGGACTAGTTCAAAGTTTCAGTAAGATTTWAAAAAATGTATCACCATTATCTTCTGGATGGGACTGAAACCATTTCCCTCTGTAGACACTGTGCCACCAGCAGCAGAGAGATCAACCCTTAACTTCAGAAATTGGGAGCATGGTTAACAACACCTCTGTCTGTACTCCAGCCACTCTGAAGCACAACCACCACCAGGGGTAGGTTATCTATGCAGCAGAGGGAAATTTTGCTAAAACACTGGAGTCAACTAAGTACCCCAGTCCACAGTCAACATCTTCCAGATTCAATGCCAAATCAGAGGAAGACCTCACACAGCTGTGTGCACATATGAAAAAGTTTTTTGCAGTACAGCCTGATAGAATATTTTGATTGGTTAATACCACAAACACCATGAAGCAAACTGCTAGAATGAGAATAAGAAAGATCTTCTACAGTCAAACTGGTTTATTTCCATGCCAAAGGAGATTCTTTTCAATTCCATGTTTGATTTTTCTATTATCCAAATTCATATGCCTCACAATTATTGAATAATATGAACTAAGCTAGTGTATGGGTACTAACCATAAATTGTACATCCCAGGAGCAGAGACCCTGCAAGGCTTTCTGCGCATTTCCTTCTGACACCTGACCTGAGTCAGGCACATCATTTTCTGTTCTTTAATCAGCAGTCAGTAAGGAAGGCAACTTTTTCACCCTCTTGGACTAAAAAAAAAAAAAACAAAAAAACCCCCCACTTTAGAATGGATATTCAAAAACCTCTCTCTTTCAGTTGGAGTGAAGGGGAAGTAGGAAAATACTAACTTTTTTACAACATCTGTTTAAGTATCATTCATATGTTTTGCTCTCCTCATTCCTGAGCACAGAAATACTTAGTTCATGACAATTCTCATGCAAGGCRATGACCTGAAAAGCACCAATGTGCAAATGAATTCATCGGAATGATTGCTGCTGCTTCGGGGATAGACTTGCAAGCTGTGACAGATAATACACAAACACACATCACTATAGCAATGCTTACACTAATATATGTTTACAGAAAGGTCCAACCCCTGAGGGACTCGTTCAAGTTTTCATGAAAATTTCCAGCTTGCCAGTGAGAGAGCAGACACGATCCTATGAGATGGAGGCAGCCAACACACCATCTATTATATGAATTACTGGTCACTTGGGGCTGAAACAAGTGATGGGAAATAGTTTGTGAGAAACCCAGCATCTGAATAAAACCCTCCAGAATTAAAGAAAACCAAAGTATTTGTAAAAATACATTGTCTTCCTTTGACAATGCACAGCAGTTAGTAGACAAGTTAACAGCTTGCCCTGAAGAATTAGATCATCTCTGYTA